GATGGTAAATCAGTTGATAAGGTTGTAAATCTACGTTAACTGAGATGGTCGGGTCACGTGTTGCATATGCCTGAATACTGATAACCACGACGCGCAATGCTGACTAGTGTTGGGTTTAGGGTTGGGAGAAACTTTGATGTGGCCAAACCAAGACATGACATCAGTGCTTGAAGTCACTAACTTCTAGTCTTAACCATGTTAGTAGATGCAGACTACTTGATTGGGGTTCATGTGACTATCGTAACCAATGGTTGGAGACTGTGGTATATGGCTCAGAATCGGTCACAATGGCGTAGGTGTATACACTCTCTATCTTCCCTTAAACTGTGAGATTAAAATCGCTTCATATCTTTCCTTTTACGAACCAATTCTTTCTTCCTGTACTATAGCCTTATACACAATCTTTTTTTAACATATTACCACCATTGAATTAACTACTTTTATGGATCCGGTGTTCATCTTGTTATGCCAATGCGGTATGGCAATTTGGACGAATGTATAAATATGCCTAGTTCTATGTTTTAGCTGACTGACTGACTTCACAATTAACCATATTTCATCTATTCTATGTAAACTATTATAGTCAATCTTATATTTGCATCTCATCAATGTTATAACACTTAAAGTAACATATGAACTAATGTTCATCTCATAACTTAAGAAAGATCATTGAATTGATTCAAATTCATTAGAAGAAATTATGTCGCCAAGTTTTATTAAATTGAGTTTCAATTAAGTCTACTATAAGTAGTATGATTATTTTTTATTAAATTTGTGAAATGATTAGTATATTCCAGGAGAATTTAATAATGAATAGAAACAGATATGTAATAAGAACTCGGTTGGAAATTTAATTAGACAACCCATAATCTACATATTACACGAGTCTTCATAGGGTACTTGAAATTTACTGAAAAAATTAAAACATTAAGTGATTGACTATCGCCCTCAAATGCCCTGGTATGGCTGAGAGTGAGGAGAGTTAACTCTTCCTCTCCAAATACTCTCATACGTACACGCGTATACAGTCACTGCATAAGAAGTCCTACTCATTGCTTTCTCGCTGCAGTACTGTTGTTTACGAAGTTAAGAGGATGAAAAACAAATGTTCGGTGCTTTAACCAGGGTGGTGGATATGAAAGATTCATCCAGCGGAGTTGGAAACCCATCATTCCAAACCAATGGTGCACATGAATTCCAGGATCCTGAGGGAACCAATGGAGTATGAACCAATTACCAATTGCAGTCCTAAACATCAATAAGAAAATTTAAACAACCAATACAACAATGAATTCAACTTCACATCACTAATATAAGCTAGTGGCTATCTAGACTCAGTAGGTAAGTGGATAACATGATGACGTTTGAAGCGAACGGTGCCGGGTTCAAGTTCCAACTCTGAAATGCAGGTACATACAGCTGACAAGTCTCAAATAGAACAAAACACACATCCTAGATTCCACTGTTAGCCACTATACATCTTTGCTTAGAATGTTAATAACCTAAGGAAATCTCGAGACCATCCGTATATATATCAACAAGAGACTGATCAATTACAACGTTAGGAAGATACAAATAAAATAACATCAATTGAATTCATATTCATCTATAATGAGACTTACCAATTGAATTGTTAACACACCAACGTTTTTCCAGTATTAGTTTAAAGCATAACCATTTTTGTAAATAACATAATGTACATAATGTACAAAGGAATATTATACCAGTTATACATAAATAACACCATGCCCATAATGGTAAATAAGAATAAGAAACGATTTCCTCTTCAGTGAACATTGAATAAGATACGTTTTAAACAAAATGTTGAATGATTATGTAAGAAGTAAAACTGATTATAATCCTATTATAATTAGAATTTGAATAAGATATTGTCATTACACAGTTATATGCAATCATTTACTCTATCCTATACACTACTGATTTCAATCAAAGTACACATAGATCAATAATTCAAATCATTCCATGTTATGGATATAGTAGTACTCATGGACAGAGGTGAAGGGGGTAGGGTGGGGGTAAGTAAATGAGTACTTTACCCCCCTCCCCAAAGACGAACATGTATATTTCATATAGTTTGTAAAAGGATATCGTTGTAGAATTTGACTTTGATTTTGATTGGTTATTAATACGTGTTGGAGAAGCCTGTTGATTGTTCCCCGTTTACATATATGAAATTCCCTTATGAGAAACATATATACATATGCATATACATAGTAAATTATAGTGGAAAACCATAAGGCGGTTATTTTCTAATCTAACACTTACCTACAATTCGTCATTTACTAATCAATTCTTATCTTAACACTTATTGGCTATTAATTACTAACAAATATATTACTGTGTAGTTACTTACACCTGTTACCCTTCATGGAGGAGTATAGGTCGCTCATCAGTATTCTCTATTCAACTTGTCTTGGACAATCCTTCCCAGTTGGCTGATCTATTTCTTAACAATCACAGATTTGACCATGAAACAGAAGGAAATGAATTCGAACATGAGTAAGAGCATTAAGATTGAAAATAGACATTACTAATGATGAGAAATAAAAAAATAGATTCATGATTGTCTGTCAATCAATATTAACTAGTGATTACCAAAATAAAAGTACTAATGTATTAAACAACTTAGTACAGTTGCGGTATGTGCTACTTATATTGACATAAGTAGTATATGATGTTATTCGTGAACAGAAGGTCTGGCAGCAGAGAGATAAGAGGATCGAACAGTAAAGAATGGAAACAGGATGTAGTTTGTATGAAAACGCAAAAACAATGAAGTCTGAGTCATTATGAGACAACTGATGGACATTTTGCAGATTAGGTATTTACTATTTGATTGTTAAGTTTTACTAACGGGTCCTGTAATTTTGTGTCAAATACATTCGATTGTCCCCAGCTCTGTTCTGTTCACTACACTGTGATCGTACTACAATTTGTAAGTAAAACGTTGTAGATACTGTTGAGTTTTATTCAAATCATAGGCTGATCTAAGTTAAACTACTATTAAAAATCCGGTAGTATTGGGCATCCGTTTCATCCAAATATGTGTATCCAGATCTTCAATGGCGATCTAACTTGTATTTTACAGTTTAAATGATGAACTGACTTTAGTTAGATAACCACTGAGGATAGAAGGCTCTGGAAATCTGTTTCTTCCTAAATAGCGTGCATACAAAACCGAACCTCCGTGAGTCCTGGTTCCCATCACTGATGTATTTGTAAACCCGAATTAGTGAAAAGTTCCATATTACAAAAAAGTTGTCTAGCGCTTCATAGTTTCGAATGGTTGACTAAGGCCACGTCTTGATGTAAAACTTTCAAACAAATAAGGACAGTCAATATTACCCAATGATTTTAATTTTTAAATGCATGATCGAATTTACCCACGTCTTCCATGAAACTTCTGGTATATATATATATATATATTCAACTTTGGATGACTGGAATGAAACTCCAAGTAACAATTACACTCTTATATGCAGCACTAACACACTAAATGGATAGGATATTGAACTTTCATTAAGCATTGAACAGAAATGGTCATCTTTACACCTACATAAGTTTCTTGCACTATGCACAATATCAGTTTGTGATAAAAACCCTAATTTCGTATTTTGACCCTTAATCCTTAACACTAGTTCATAATCCAATTTTAAACCAAGTGGTTAGTAATCCGCAAGGCAAATTTGGAAACCATCTCTAAAATTTAACTCAATCAAATAATCAATCTATCCTAAGCTGTAGAGTTAAAGAATTTGTATGACTATGATAACACTTATAATTGAGAGTACAATTCAAGAATAGAATCTTACGGTTCATTTCAATATAGGTGAATATAAATTGTGTTTCACTGAAAACTACTATTTGTGTGACGATCAAGTATTTACATGGTGTGTTAGATGTAAAGTATATCCAAGGTAGAGAAGCTGGAGTTCGAAAAATGTTTAAGAAAAATAAATTGTTATCACTGATTTCGTAAACATACTCGTGAACCTTAGTATTACTAGTATGATGTCGTCAACAAATATATAAGATATTCTTTTGAAGTAACGTTGAAAGAACACAAAATCGTCAAACGTTTTTAGCTAAGAACGATCTAGTTTAATAAACCCAGAAGCCGATCCTTTAAACCTATCATGATAGTAACAAACGTAGCACAGGATTACACAGCCTGATTTCGCTTTTATTGTGGATAAATAGATCTTATCTGTCATTTACGAACAACAGACACAAAACGGATCAAATGCATGAAATTTGAGAATATTTCTTACAATTCACCATAGTTTCGAAAGTAAGGTAGTAATTCACCGAAGACTTGAAATACGAATCCTACTATGAGAATAACTGACAACAGTTTCATATAAACATAAATGCTATTTAATGATCTTAAGGGACTGTGTTTGCCAAAAGACCTGAATCGTGCCAAGTACCCGACCATCTGAATTGTAGCATGAGTGCGCGCACTTCTAAGGAATACCTAATATAGACTAGCTGTCCAGTATTGCATAGCTACAACGCAGGACCAGGTACATTTATACATCCATCTAAGTTGTCACACCTCATTAGCACAACAAGATGAACACTAGATCCATAAAAGTAGTTAATTTAATGGTGGTAATATATAAAAGAAAGATTGTATATAAGGATATAGTACAGGAAGAAACAATTAGTTCGTAGAAAGAAAGATATGAAGCGATTTTAATCTCACAATTTAAGGGAAGACAAAGAGTGTATACACCGACGTCATTCTGACCCACGTCACCAAGAGTCTCCAACCATTGATTACGATAGTCACGAGGACACCAACCAAGTAGTCTGTATGTACCAACATGGCTAAGACTAAGACTTCAAGCACTGATGTCACGTTTTGGTTTGGCCACATCAAACTTTCTTCCAACCCCAACCCCAACACTAGTCAGCATTGCGCGTCGTGGTAATCGGTATTCAGGCACATGCAACACGTGGCCTGACCATCTCAGTTAACGTAGATTTACAACCTTATCAACTGATTTACCATCATTCCCTAATACATTGAATAGTTCTCTCTAGCTAATATTATTTTGCATTATAAAACAACCCCACCCTCCACCCATCAAGAACTTATCTAACATGAAACAAACAAAATAAATATTTTAGTAAATCATCTCAACATAATAAACATTCCAAATATCATAATTTTATGTACAAAGACAAACTGTCCATAGATCAGTAGATCAAAGGGTATAATAATAATGAATCGGATCATTCAACATTATTTTCATCTGTATATTGTGTTGGTAAACCAACACGACCATCTTTTATTTGTGCTATAGGTGTTTGACCAATTTTCGGATCTAAACCATACCATGTTCGATTAACTCGATTAGCATATAAATTCCATTGATTATAGTCAATTAATTCACTTGATGATTGAACAATTAAAGATTGAGAATTATCTTCAGTATGAAGTTTATTTTTTGGAATAAAACGACTATGTCCATCAATTAATGAAACCATGGCGAATGATTCAGTTATTTGTGGAATAACATTCTCCACAGGTATATAAGCTTGACCACCTAAAGAAAATTAAAAATTATTTCTAACATTTTCATATACGTTGAAAGATGAAAGAAAAAGTATACACTGAATAAGTTACAATTAATTGATCAGTGAGAAGTAATGAGTGTTGGCCAAATTACTTAAGTTTAAACGTGTCCACTGATCAAAGTGACTTGACATCACGTACATTATGCTTAGATATTAGGCGGTTGGAAGTAGTCAATAGGAAATCTTGTTTGTTTTAGGTTTCGTGCTAATTACCACTCTTCAACAAAGCGTATCTATAATTTTGAGGGGATTGATTCTCTCAGTAGAATATGAACCTATGTCAAGAAGCTTCGTTGCTTAAGATATTAACCATTGAGCTATTTCGATGATGTCTTAGTTCTACTGTACATGATGAACAACAAATTTAACAATGTAGGATATTCACTTTCTGTTGTTTTACTTGTAACTTCCCATTGTTATTTAGGACTGTAATTGATTAGTCTCTTGTTGGCATATGTGAATCCTATACGGACTGCCTCGATATTGCTTTAGGTCACAAGCTTTGTAAGCATAGATAGATAGTGGCTAACAGTGTAATCCAAGACGCGCGTTTCGTCCTATTTTGGACCCGTTAGCCAGATGTACCTGCATCTCAGAGTTGATGTTCACTCTGGGACTCGAACATAGGACCGTTCACTTAAAAACTCTATCGCTTTATTCACCTACCTATTGAGTTCAGATAGCCACTTGATTGTGCAATGTGGTGAAGTTTAATTCCACTTGGTATTGTTTGCTTGAATCTTCCCATTGTAATTTAGGACTTCAATTGATCAATCTGTTATTGGCATATGTGCATACTATGCATATTGCCTTAATTTACAAGCATCCTAAGCAGAGACGGATAACGGCTAGCAGTGGAATCCAGGATTCCTGGATCCAACAAGAGACTGATCAATTGAAGTCTTAAATAACAGTGAGAAGATACAAGTAAACAACACTAAGTGAATTTAGAATGTAGGATATTGTTTAAACAAGTTCCAAATAAGTAAAACTATAACATCACCAAAAAGTGTAGTATCCTAAACATAAATTACCACTTGCTAATCAAATAAATTGGATTTAGCATATGGCTTCCAAATGCCCTGCTATGGCTGAGAGTAGGAAAAGTCAGCTCTCACTCTAGAAATTCTCTCATATGGCCATATGCATACAACCACTGACAGGGAAGTCCCACTCACCGCCTTCTTGAGGCATTACTGTTGTTTACGAAATTGAGAGGACGAAGGGCGAATATCCGACACTTTAGCCGAGTTGGTGGATATGGAGAGTCCACCTAATGGATTTGGAAAACCCTCATTCCAAATCAATGGTGTATATCGCGTCCACGATTCTGATGGAACCAGCTACCAGCTACCATGGAACTGCATCTACTGACATCGCTCCACTACCTTGTGGATTAGACCTCTAAGTCAAAGACTCGGGGTGTGCCCCCCCTAAGATAACCACCTGTTTCGGTTTGAGCACTCTGGCAGTATCAGAGATCACACACAAACCAAGTGACTTGTGTGGTGCATATCTGTTTGGTGCCTCTTTGTACCAATGTTTATGTGTATAAATAAAATACATATATTTAGCATATGAGTACGCAATTAACTTATGAAAAAGTAAACAAACAAACGATCAATATTCAACTTACCTGGTAATAAATCATGAAAATCTATGCAAAATTTCTCTGCTGTCCATGTACGTTCATCATTTAATGAATAATCATTTATATAACATGAATGTAAAGCACATTCCATTTCATATGGTGTTATAACTGGAATATGAAAATTATATGAATCTAATAAACTTGTCTCAGGACAAGCTATTATAATTAATAATTGTAATTCAGGTAAATTAGCTAATTTTTCTGGATTTAATCGACCAACAATTAGTGTGATACATGAACGTTTTGCATTTTTTAATAATAATTTTAAACGATCAATAATATGTTGATAATGTTTAATAGATAATGTACAAACCTTTTTTGGGGGGGAGTGAGAGAAAGGGAAAAAAAGAACAAAATTTAAGAGAACATCAAAGGATACAAGTATCTTTTGTAGAAAAAAATGAACTACTAACACGCATAAGTTAATTCTTTATGTTGAAGGTACTTCAATGATTATTGTACAATGATTTCGGCTATTGATCCACCGCTTGAAATTCTGTCATACAATTGTGTATATGGTCTCTGACATGGAAGTTCAATCTACTACCTTCACGCAGTAGTTTTTTTTTAAAAATTTATCTGAACACATCATCGTTGGTACAAAGGGGCACCCAATACATATGCGCCACACAAGTCACTTGATTTGAGTGTGAGCTGTGATACTGCCAAGGTGCTCAAACCAAAGCAGTTAGCTTTCTTAGGGAGCCACACCCCGAGCCTTCGACCTAAACGACTAATCCGCAAGGCAGTGGAGCAACATCGGAAGATGCAGTCACATGGTAGCCGGTGACCAACAATAGGTCCATACTCCATTGGTTCCTCCAGGATACTGGAGCCCATGTGTACCAGTGGCTTGGAATGAGGGTTTTCCAACTCCCCTGGGTGGACTCTCCGTGTCCACCAACCTTGTTAAAGCGTCGGACATTTGCTTTTCGTCCTCTCAGTTTCGTAAACAACAACGCAGAGGCGACTTTCCTCTCAGTGGTTGTATGCTCGTGGCCATGTGAGAGTATTTCGAGAGGAAGAGCTGACTCTCCCCATCCTCGGCCGTATGAGGGCATTTGGGGACCCTAAAAGCATTGGCCCATATATCAACCATTAAAAGATGAACTTTAAAAGAACCAACTAACAACTTACCAAGATTCCAATATATTGTGCATCTTTTGCTTTTTCAATTAAATATGTTCTTCTTTTTAATAATCTATTCAACTGTAAACCAGTTAAATCTAAATCACGAGTAATTGGATCAAATAAAATTGTTTTTGATGGATCAATTTCTGGTAAACAAAGTAGGATACGATAAACTGAATATAAATCTGTATCACTTTCTTTTGTATGTCCAATATATAACATCATCCAACTATGTTTATTATTATTATTATCGATACTATTTAAAGTATCCAAATCAAATTGATAAGGGATTAATAATCGTCCACAACGAATCCATTGATTTTTATGGTTATTCATGTCATCTTTCCTGTCGGATTCTATTACTGAATTATCTAATGTATTAATGTATGGCTCAGACCATATTAATTTTGGTAACAGTTTAGGATTATATGAACCTGAACCATTACTACTCATTGATATTAATTCATTATAAATATATTGAGCAATATCTTTAAAACGAAAATCATACATAATGAGAAGAATTGACGGTGTGATAGTTTCTGATGAATAGGCAAAAATGTTCTGTATCAATTGATGTGAAATTTGTTTAAATGATTGGACTTCATTATTAAGTTGATAAGGTGAATATTTGCCAAATACATAATAAATAGGCAAACAACCAGTTGTTATAGATAAACATGCTCGACCATAATGAATTAATGCATCAATTTTCATATGTTGACCAGCTATTTCATCAACACAACAACTGAAGTGTGACAAATTAATACAAATTAATTACAGGGTCAAAGAAGTAACAGTATAAATAGTAGTAAAAACACTAGGCATAGATAATACAATACACAAAGAAATATATTCACGAAATAAAGAGTATAAGGTAACATTAAAACAGGTTGTAAAGGAAGATAGAAGTGAATCCACCACTGCCAGGGAAGTCCCGCTCAGTACCTTCTCACACCACGGGTGTCGATTACGAAATTGGGAGGATGAAAATCGAATGTCCAAAGCCTTAACCGGGTCGGTGGATAGGGAAAGTCCACCTAGTGAAGTTGAGAAACCCTCATTACAAACCAATGGTGAACACGGACTACAGTATCCTGAAGGAATGAATGGCAGGCATATGAACCAGCCACCATGGGACTGCATCTCCTGACGTTACTCCACTGCCTTGTGGATCAGACCTTCAGGTCGAAGGCTCGGGGTGTGACCCCTAAGAAAACCACCTGCTTCGGTTTATGCACCCGGGAAGTATCCCAGCCCTCATACAAATCGAATGATCTAGGTAGCGCACATCTAGTTGGTACCTCCTTGTACCGATGTTTATGTGTTTAAGTACATAAGTAAATAAAAACCCACTCACCTTGCAAACGAACTATCTCCAAGAATAACACACAGACAATCAGTAACAATGGAATTCAACTGCCGACATATGACAATCGATATACCCAAAAGTTCATCTGGAAATTGTAATCCAACCTATAAAACACTTAGATAACATGTAATTTAATTACTTTAGTAAATTTATTTCTTTTAATCCAATTTGCTGTTTCATTTATCTCAAAAACAATGGGAATATCAGGAGAATTTGCGTTCCATCTTTCAATCATTTTTTTCTTTTACGTTTCAGCGACAAAGTGTACTTTAAAATTTCAAAACGAATCTTTTTTAAACCAATCTATATTATCCAACATAATCAGTAGGAAGCCGTCGGACTAATGCAATGATCTAAATATAATGAGAAAAATAATTTGCCAAAAGAGTAAATTAGAATATACATAAATCATATCCACTGGAAATAAAATTATCAATTATCTCATCCTGGTACGGCCGAGTGTGAAGAGTCAGCCCTCCTTCGCTAAATGCCCTAACATGGCTGTGTGCACACAACCACTGCCAGGGAAGTCCCACTCACTGTCTTCTCGCACCATGGGCGTTGTTTACGAAATCGAGAGGACAAAAAGCAAATGTCCGACGCTTTAACTGAGTTGGTGGATACGGAGCATCCACCTGAGGTAGTTGGAAAACCCTCGTTCCAAACCAATGGTACACATGGGCTTCAGGATCCTGAAGGAACAAATGGCGTGTGAAACTATTGTTGGTCACCGGCTACCATGTGACTGCATCTACTGACGTTGCTCCACTGCCTTGTAGATAAGACTTTTAAGTCGAAGGCTCCGGTTGTGACCCTCTAAGAAAATCACCTGCTTCAGTTTGGACACCCGAGGCGTAAAGATGGACATATTTCCAAAATAATGTGTTAAAGAGGAGGACAGATTTGTCGTCTAAATCCAGTCTCCGCCTTTATTTTCCGTTATCGAGAACTTGGGCTGATAACATGTTGAAAACTGTCTCCCACGCCATATTACAACCTATAACTGCAACTTATTGAACAAATGTGGGGGCAAATTACTTGTGATGCTGGTTATTTTCTGCCCTAGTTGTACCAATATGAATCCTGAATGGGTAGCTCGAAAATGGTGTTTCAGAACGCTAGTAATGACGTTATAAAACAACAAAAGTAATTAAAGCTCAAATGACTGAACAATGCCATCATAAATATGACGAGAGAAAAATGGAGCTGGAAATCAGGAGGAAAGACAAGATCGTCTTCATAAGTTTTAAAAACAAAACTTGATAAAAATGCTCACCGAAAACCTAATAAGCATGTGTGTAACGAATACAATCGGAAGCGGCGGGTAGATTTATAATTAACACTGCACCAAGTATCCAACCCACTCAAGTGCAAATAAAAAACGAACAATTTATTTGCGGTCTCCCCTTGATATTTGATATATAGTACGATCCACTTTTTGAATCTATACACTCAATGTAGAGCATGAATAAAAGCTTGTGAATAGCGGGCCAATAGGAAAGGCATCGGCACAAGTTAAGCGACTCTGGTAAGACGTACACTTAATCAAGTCTGAGATACTAGGCTGAAAAAGAAATAGAGGAAGTGTATTGTATTTAGGACTTGCTTTTTCCTTTGTGTATGTTGAGTCCTACTACCACATAGACTGCTGCTACGTTGTCTATTTTCATTTGCACGAGTTCGTGTGTGGGATGGAAGGGTCAGATTATCTGCGAAGTCCAAGTCATCTAGCTGCATCCAAGCCGTCTACTGTACTCCATACTTCCCTTCAAATTTTCAGGTCTACATAATCCAATCAACCGCCAAACGAAAGAGAAAGTCAGAGAGTAATTATTCTTGCTTGACACTAGTCCTCAATTAGAATGCATCTGTTAACTGTCCTCCATACACATGTTTGCTGTGTGTTCCGTCGTATGAATCCCGTATGACGTTGACCATCTTCTCACGTAAACCATAGTGTCGAAGATAATCCCATAGGGTTCTCTTATCCACACTGTTAAATGCTTCCTCATAATCAATGAAGTTGATATATGATGACGAATTCCATTCAGTTGATTGTTCAACAATGATCCGTAGTGCCACGATTTTGTCTGTGCACGATCGATCCTTATGAAATTCCTTCTGTTGATCTCAAAGCTGGACGTCTACTGAGTGTTTCATCCGGTTCAAAAGCACTCTGTTGTAAACCTTTCCTGGTACTGATGCCACTGTAGTTCTCGCATTTGCTCAAATCCCCTTTCTTCGGTATGTGGGTGAGAAGTCCTCCTTTCCAATCCATCGGCAGTTGCTTTTCCTCCCAAACCTTCCTGAATAGAATATGGAGCATTTTTGCAGTTACTTCTATGTCTGGCTTCAGTGCTTCAATTGCTATGCCATCTTATCCTGTTACTTTTCCGCTCTTAATTTGTCTGATGCGCATTTGAGGCCGATCATACAATTACTGAAACGACTTATATACGACAATTGATACGAAGAGAAGGTTGACTATTGAGAAAGCGTGAATATTAATTTGGTTCATCGGATGGCATGGCTCAGCATAGCAGGCGAGGTCATTTTTGTGCGAGTTGAATTTCAGTGATTGACTTGCCTACTTTGTCCTTGACAAGTCTTTCTGGTCGATTATGTTTTCCGTCAGTTATTTCAAAGTGTCTTATGGTTGCTTCATATTTCTTTCCCTTTCAGCTTTTCCCGCTATCGTTACTGGTCTCGCACATATTTCTGCTTGCCAGATCTAATGCTACTCTTCACCTGCTTGATTGCCTCTGTTTATTCAGCTTTTACCTTGACTCTCTTCGTTCTTTTTCGGATGTTGTTGATTTCTGCCAAACGGCCGCGAGACATCAAACGAAATGGACAGTGTAATTTGCTTGGTTAACCCACAAGGCAATAGGCTAACAACCGGTAGGTTTTTGAGTCTGTCACACTGCACTCTCAACATATCTTCACATGTTAGTGGGCAGACGCAGAATGAATTGCAAACTGTGAGAGGTCGAGTTTAATCGAATGGGCTTGGGATTGTGTTCAGGTATGATATGTTCTCATCCAAACCTGCTTATAAATGTATAAAAGATGAAAATTGAAAATCGTTATTTAAAGAATAAGATAGCATAGGGATAGATGGACTTATTGGCAAACATTCAGGGCAATTATTATGGAGTACACCAATGAATATATTATGGATTTATCACTCACTTTAGTCTAGTCTGATAGAACAACTTTCCACGTAGATCTAATACTTACATTCAAACCCACTTGAAGTATGGTGATGTACTTCGCTTTCTCCCCTCCGTTTTTCCCGTACCTATAGTATGAAGCGTTACAAATACAGAGTTTGGTTTCGCAAGGCGTGCACAGACCCTACAGTGGCTGCTTACAGCAGACCTAATAAGTCGGATCGCAGGTGGGCATCTAGCACGTTTCACACGAATGTAAATTATTTGCTGAGCAACATCACCATTCTGTTGATAGAACTGCGGAAACGACTGTCAGCAACACTCAAAATGACATTTTTGAAATTGGTAAATAAGCAAAGGCTCTCATTGAGTTGCTGAAGAGTATCTTGAACCATATTGTCATAATTGGAATATGAATCAACTTCAGTGAATATATATCGAAACTCAGCACCACCATAACGTCGACGGTGTTAAACTCTTCCAGTAAACTTGTATCCCCAGCACAGACCTCACAAATGGCACTGTGGTCCGCGAAACGTCTAGCGCAGGCGACTAGAACCCCGTTAACAGGAGAAAAAAATGTTCCAATTTCACAGTCAAAATTCATGAAAACTCAAGATTCGCTAGAAAATCAGCTAATGAATCGGCGTTGTAATCTATTTCTAGTACTGTCAAACCAGTCAACAAAAAGCACGGAAATCTGGTACGCAATCTAACTGCCAAACAATGAGGACCCTAAATTGAACGTAATCAAAAACCTGGGAAGCGATCAGAGCTGGATATGTTTCTCCCAAAATCATGACCCTTGAAGACAGCTTCGGCCTTCCTCTCAGGCATCAGGATGAAATGACAGGATGCTGTGAGATAATTAAACAGGAAACTCAAACTTACCAAAACTGGGCCTCAGACGATTGTACGGCCTTCTGGGAGAAGTACATGAAACACCAAATTCATCCAAGACTCCGCTGTGTCGTTTATCAACACCATTGACCTAGAGAATGTTCTACTGTCCATTCACTTGCCAAAATCAGGAAAGAATATGACAGTTCTGCCTAATATACCATATTTCGAGCGCAATCTCAACAGGAACATCCAAAAAATTTCACTTGACGTCGTTTAGTTGAAGAAATATCATTGTGCAAGGAATCAGAGAAAACACGAACCCTAACCACTCGGACTGTGATATTCTAGCGTGAAAATTCACAAAGCAGTTCTTGAAGCTTAAGAATATATTATTACAACAAGCCAAGAAGAGTTGTGATTCTAGACCTCGGATAATAACGATAACCTTCCTATCCTTCCGAATGTCGGCTGCCATTCTTGAAGCATTTAATGTCAGCGGAAGCCGGTTATCAAGTGGAGTCCACTTGCATCCGAACAGGCCACATAACCCAAGGATTAAGCACTAGAGAGAATCGGAATTGACTCTTCCACTAGTGGACTGTTAAGAACAAAAACTTAGGTAGAATGAACAAACACAACAAACTTAGCAAAACCCATGTAGGCATGTTGCCTGTCGACTCACATAAGGCTCATTCAGACCAATAGGATGAGGAAGCCATTGCGTTTCGAATCAAAAGCATGAACTGCTAGTATACGAACGCCGTGGGTTTATCTAACAAAATGGATGAGTTGCGTGAACTGAGAAACGCTAGTAATACCCATCTGACAGGAATATCTGAAACATGGCCACCTTTTCAAATTATCAGTCAGGAGCTTGCAATACTCTGCATATTTTGTTCCGCGATTGTTGAAAAACAAATATGGTGATGGAGCGACGCTGTACCTTCATTCTTACTTGGCGGTACGTTGAGAAATAAAGAGGGCGAAAAGTAGCTCCCATTTTGTTAAAAAGTCCTTGGTGGACTCACATTCTGCGTTGCAGATCACTTTACCAAAATCCCAACATAAAACAGTATCTAACCCTTTCATAGATAGGAAGAGTTTGGTCCTGTCAAAAATTGTCGTGAGTCATTCTGTTGACTCCCAAGACTGTCACAAGAAAAACTAACGGTGAGCTCACGGCAGTTAACAGGCAGGATTCGACATTATAACCGAAGGC